CATATATGATCATTATATGTTGTCATATATGTTCACGGTAGGCTAGAATTATTGAAATCGGTGCAAGTTGTAAATCAATAAATTGGTCGTCTAAAGGCAAATTGGATGGATCTACCTAACCAATTGGACTCACAGAGAGTATTAGGGATCATGGTAAAACTTTCGGAAATTTTTATTTTGGGCAAAAAAATGTCAAAAAAATCCAAAGTTGAAGGCTAATATCCACACTTTTTGAGAAATTTTGGAGGTTTCGGTGCCTGGTGTTGAAAAGTCTTAAAATTCTAGGGGATATTTCTTGGGGTCATAAAATGTCGTTTGGAACCATATATGATCAGTATATGTTGTCATAAATGTTCGTAGTAGGCTTGAGTTAATTAAATTGGTGCAAGTTGTAAACCGGTAAATTGGCCGTTTAAAGGCAAATAGGATGATTCCATCCACCAATTGGCCTCCCAGAGGGTATTAGGGACAATAGTAAGCATTTCGGAAATTTTTATTTCTAGGTGAAAAAAAAGGTAAAAAAATTCCAAAATTGAAGGCTATTTATCCATGCTTTTTGAGAAATTTCGAAGGTTTCGGGGCTGGTGTCGAAATGAAATGAGATTTTTGGGGATACATCTTGGGGTCAGATAATGTCGTTTGGAACCATAAATGATCATTATATTTTTCCATAAATGTTCTTGGTAGGCTTGAGTTTATGAAATCGGTGCAAGTTGTACACTGATAAAATTGGCCGTTTAGAGGCAAATTGGTTGGTTCCACCCACCCAATTGGACTCCTGGAGGATATTAGGTATCATGGTAAACATTTCGACAATTTTTATTTTATGGCGAAAAAAGTCTAAAATTCCAAAATTGAAGTCCATGTTTTTTGAGAAATTTGGGATGTTTCAACGCCCGGAGTCGAAAAGTTTTGATATTTAAGGGGATACATCTCGGGGTCACATAATGTCGTTTGGAACCATATATGATCATTATATGTTGTCATAAATGTTCGTAGTAGGCTTGAGTTAATTCAATCAGTGCAAGTTGTAAACCAGTAAATTGGTTGTTTAAAGGCAAATAGGATGGTTCTACCTACCCAATTAGACTCCCGGAGAGTATTAGGGACCATGGTAAACATTTCGGCAATTTTTATTTTCGGGCGAAGAAAAGTAAAAAATTCTAAAATTGAAGGCTAATATTCACGCTTTTTGAGAAATTTTGCAGGTTTTAGGGCCGGTTTCGAAAAGCATTTAGATTTTAGGGGATACATTTCGGGGTCATATATTTCCGTTTGGAACTATATATGATCATTATATGTTGTCATAAATGTTTGTGGTAGGCTTGAGTTAGTGAAATCGGCGCAAGTTGTGAACTGGTAAATTGGTCGTTTAATGGCAAATTGGATGGTTCCACCCACCTAATTGGACTCCCGGAGGGTATTTGGGACCATGGTAAACATTTCGGAAATTTTTATATCTAGGCAAAAAAAAGTCAAAAAATTCCAAAATTGAAGACTAATATCCACGTTTTTTGAGAAATTTCGAATGTTTTGGGGGCCCGATGTCAAAAAAACATTGATATATAGGGGATACATCTCGGGGTCATATGACGCCTTTTGACCATAAATGTTTGTGGCAAGCTTGAGTTAATGAAATCGGTGCAAGTTGTAAACCGGTAATTAGTCGTTTAAAGGCAAATTGAATTGTTCCACCGAGCCAATTGGACTTCCAGAGGGTATTAGGGACCACGGTAAACATTTCGGCAATTTTTATTTCCGGGTGTAAAAAAGTCAAAAAGTTCTAAAATTGAAGGCTAATATCCACGTTTTTTGAGAAATTTTGGAGGTTTCGGGAAGAACTGTCAATTCGAGTAAACGAGTTGGGTTTGTGTCGGTAAGGGGCGGCGGGTCAGGTCTATTCGGATTAATTCCATAACCTATGCAGGTCGGGTTTTGGTTGGATTATGCTTGAGTCGTGTCACATCGGGTCATACTTCTTATCGGGTTTAGGTGGGGTTACATTCGGGTCGGGTGAACAATAGGTCGGGTTTAATTTGGGTTTTCACGTGTTAAAACGGGTTAGGGTAATCCTCGGGTTCGAGTCGGGTTCTGTTCAAGTCAATAATTTGTAGGTTAGAATCAGGTCAGGTCATTCTCGAGTTTTAGTCGGGTACGGTTCAAGTCAATAATTTGCGGGTTATAATCAGGTCGGGTCATTTTCAAGTCGTGTCATTCTCGGGTTAAAGTCGGGTTCGGTTCAAGTCAAAAATTTGCGGGTCATAATCAGGATTGGTCATTCTCGGAGTCAAGTCGGATTATGTTCAAGTCAATAATTTGCAGGTTACAATCAGGTGGGGTCATTTCTGTTGACTTGAACGAACAATACAAGAGGGGGGTGAATTGTATTGTGGGGAAACTAGGGTAATTTTTGCGGAATTTGTAAAGAAACTAAGCGAAAACTTAAAGTGCACAGAGAGATTTTACGTGGAAAACTTCTTGGCCCTAATCAAGAAGAAAAACCACGACCACAAGGGATTTTAAAACTCAACTCTTAATTATAATAGGGCAAACAACATATTACAATCTAAGACTCTAACTCAAGTTCTTCAACAAACTTGAGTTCCCCTTCAACCGATCCCTCAATCAGTTGAACGCTCAAAACTCTCTCTATCTCCTTGCTTCACTCAAAGCAATAAACACTCTAGAGTTCACTCAAACTCTTACCCCAAATTACAACTCAATGAATTAAACTCTAATATAAATCACAAGGATACTTTTAGACTCAAGTGGAATAAGTAAGAATAAATATGCTAGAATGCTCAAGTTTATTTTTGCAAACTGAGGAAAGCATTATTTATAGAGTTAGAAATGCATCCACTAACAGTTAGTTAGTTCCACTAACTCCACGTTCCTCAACTTGAGGAGCACGTAGAAGTGAACTACTTGTGCTGCAAGTGAAAGCAACTAACCCATGATTTCTTCAAACTCCAAAACTGCTTCCTTAATTTTCTCAACCAATTTGACTGATTAAAACCCACGTTAAAATAATTTCCAAAAAAAAATCTTTTTCTCAAAAATAAAAACCAAATCAGTTAAAAGAAAGATATTTAATATTTTCCAAAAGATAATTATTTAAGTAAATAATATCTAATAGAAATATAGGAAAATATAATTAATTAAAATAAGATACCTATTCCACTTGACTCCTACTAATGTCAATATAATTTATACGTACAACAAGCTAAAAAGATAACCTATTAATTTTTAAACTCCTTGCTTTCTCTGAGGATTCTTTGACTCTGAAGTTTCCACTCTTTAGTTCCCTCGGGGAACTAAAGTCTTGCTTTCTTTATTTTATCTTCTCGTTTAGTCTTTAGCCTTCTTTGCCTTCTAGTATGTTCGTTCCTCCTCAAGTATATCATCACATACTTCAGTTTCCTCCTTGAAACCTAAGACTTACAATACTTAAAGACACTTGTTAAAACGTGTAAGTTTGCTTGAGTCATCATCAAAACACATAAGGGTCAACAATTTCCAAGTCAGGTCATACTCGAATTCAACTAACTATAAATAAATAATTATCATTTTATCAAGCTAATTATTTCCTTTGACTATAATATACGAAGTATATGGCAATATAATAGGGAACTATAGTTTATAATTTAAGAAATAATTATCTCTTTTGACCATACAACAAATATATAGGCCCTGTTTGGTAGTTAGCTTATTGGAGGTATATTAGCTTATTTGACTAACTTTAGCTGATTGACTAGTCAAACAAGCTAATACAAGTGTTTGGTAGTAAGCTTATTGAAAGAGCTTATTCCACTAAATAAGCTCTTTTTGAAAAAGCTCATTTTAGGAGCTTTTTCAATTAGCTATTCATTAATTATTGTGAAATGACACTTATAACCTCATTTAATTTAAAATTCTATCTAAACTACCTACCCCACAATTAGCTTATTGGTCGTCATTTCACATACTCAATCACCTTTAAGCTATCAACTATTTACCAAACACTTTTATATAATCAGTTAGTACAATAAGTTAGTCAAATCAGTTAATAAAATCAGCTAGTTAAAATCAGCTAACTCAATCAGATTCAGCTTTCAGCTTTCTCCCAAACAGGGCCATACTATATTTAACTATTAAATTTGAGGATGATGCTCCTTTCTTTTGTTAGCCTGGACCGACTTGGTCTCCTTAGACAAAATGCTCTGATCAACAATAATAAGGTGGTCTAAATTGCATTTAAGGTGATTTGAAATCGTGTCGGGAACAATTTGGGTTGATTTAGGTCAGGTCAATAACAAGCCGCGTTGATTTCGAGTCGGGTTAGCAACAGATCGGGTTGAGTTTTTGGGTCGGGTTAGTAATAGGTCTGGTAAAATTCGGGTCGGGTCAATAACAAGTCGGGTTGAATTTGGGTCAGTTCAATAACAAGTCGGGCTGATTTCGGGTTGGGTTTGTAACAGATTGGGTTAAATTCGGGTCGGGTTAGGAACGGGTCGGGTTGAATTCAATTTCGGTTAGTAAAAGTCGGGTTAAATTTGGATTTTGACGTGTTAAAACGGGTTTGGGTCATTTTCGGTTCAAGTCGGGTTCGGTTCAGGTCAATAATTTACGGATTACATTCGGGTCGGGTCATCTCTGGATCAGATCATGTTCGGGTCTCACATACTTGGGGTCAACTCAGGTCTAGCGTTGGATTCATGTCGGGTCAGATCGGCTTTAGGTCACCATTTTTTCAGTTCAGATGGGTGGGTTAATAATCCGATTTGAGTCAGTATTTCGGGTCCGGTCAACTTTTGACAGCTCTAGTCCTAAGTACATGAAAAGAATACATATAGAGCATTTAACGCAAGTAATCCGCAAATCTCTAAGCTTTTTTTTTCCAAAAAATGAACACTTTTTGATCGCTTCCTCATTTCCTTAAACTTGGTTATTACAAAGAAATATAGAAAGAGTAGAAACGACACATTCAAACAATTTTAACAAGAGGGGAAAAAAAGGATTGTGATGATTTAAAAAATATACTTGTGATAAACATAGGTACACTTAATTTTCAAAATTGTTTAGGCTAAAGAAGAAATTCCAGCTATCAATTTGTCAATGCTATAAAAGGCATTGAAACCTTGGTATTTAAAGCCTCCTATATTTCGCTTGGGAAAATCAATTTGTCAAATTGCAAAAGACTCATCCCCTCATTATTACAAAATTGTACACGATTGCCACGAGTACCCTGAGCTCCTAGAGCCATGACACCCTTGCTCCTTTATGTCAAAACAACTGTGAACTCAGAAGATGCTAGTGGAAGTAAAATCACAGCATTCAATCAATCAACTTGAGCCCAAATAAGGAAAAACTATAAACTAAAAATCAAATCTACAGCATCATTGACTCTGGGTTTTCGATGTAGCCTTTAAATGCTTTTAGCCACTCTGCACCCATGGCACCTACATAAAGCGAGTGACAACAGATTAACATTCAATTCTCATGGCAATGCATAACTTTACTGAAATGTGTAGCAAATGTTACTCACCATCAATGACACGGTGATCACAGCTTAGTGTAACAGACATGAAAGAGCCAAATTTGAATTGGTTGACATCATCATCTGAAGGTATAACTCTCTTTTGAGCTGCACCAAGTACAAACCAGATGTATATATGAGAAACATATGTATAATTGGGTTGACGTCTACTTTAAACATTTGCTGTTTCAACACTTGTATGTATATATGAGAAACATATGTATAATTGCGTACCAGAGCCAACTGCAAGAATGGCTGCCTGAGGAGGATTAATAATTGCACAGAATTGTTTGATTCCAAACGGTCCTCCCAAGTTTGACACAGTAAAAGTGCCACCCTATAATAACAAAAAAAATATTACAGAAAAAATTAAACGAGAACACTAACGAGGCCACGATTATAATAAAATTAAGTTTAAAGTTGTTTTTACCTCATATTGTTCAGGTTTCAGGCTATTTTCCCTTGCTTTTTGGGCCAAATGTTTAACTTCTTCAGAAATTTTGGATAGACCTTTTTTGTCAGCATCCTGCCAACAAACAAACACAAAAAACAAAAAAAAAAAATCAGTTAGCATTAGCTTTCAGTAATGATTGCTAAAGTAGAAGTAGGAGTCATCATATACCCGGACAACTGGAACATATAAACCATTCTCAGTTTGCACTGCTACATTGATGTTCACATTGTGATACCTGAACACAACAAAAATTACAATTAATTTGAAGCTATAATAAAGAGGAATGCACCAAAATGAAATCGACATATTAGCACAGTACTCACTGGCGAATAAAGTCATTGTTCCAAGAGCTATTGCATGCAGGAACTTTCTTCAGTGCCAGAGCAGCAGCCTACACAGTAAACACAAAGAGATACATTTAAATTACATCTAATAAATCCGAATTTAATATACACACAAAATTGCATTAAAGTTGACAAGAACTCCAACTAGTTGCAGCATGCTGTGTCGAATAGTAAAAAACAACATGAAACAACTCCCATCCTACTGACTGACTACAAAAAAAAATCACAGAACAAGTGGACAACCACACTGGTTTGCTTTCAATATGAGATATACATAGAACAATTTGAAACCACTCACAATCTTGACTACGTTTGATAGAAATACTACCTCCATCAAGTTGTCAATATTTCAACTCTTTCCAATGACCCAAAACATTAGTCATGTATCAATATAAATTATAAACAAAGTACATAATTTGGATAATGCTATATGGCGATCGGATGAGAATGTAAAAAATCCTAGCAAGTGTACATGCATGAATCACTTATAAGATCTTAGTCAAGGTGCTGCACAAAACAAATTAGATACTAAAAGGAAAGGGCACATGTACACTAAGGGTACATGAAACATTATATTTCCACCATTAATTGAATTCCCGAAAATCTTTCCTGGCTAGATACTTGTTCAAATGTATTTGTGAGCTATTAGAATTGTTGAGAATGAAATATTCTGTGTACACCTAAATAAAATATGCTATTGTCCCTAAGATACACAAATTTTTTATGTAATATGAAGTAGAAAATAATAGACATCCAAAACAAAATTTATAAGTACATTAATAGCAAAAGGAAAAGATGTAGTCGCATCTGACAATATACAGTGCAAATACCTTGATCACAAGATCATTAACAGAAATCCTCTTCCCTCCAGAAGCCTCTTGTAACGAATTCAATTGACTTCGCAATCTGAAGGTCATCAAAGAGCGCAATTAAGACAGTTAAACAAGATTTAGAGAGAGAGAGAGAGAGAATCAAGCAATTACTTACTCCATAAGTTTGTCCACACAAGTATCTACTGTCAGATAATAATGAGGAATGGTTTGCTTTGACATTAATAAGCGTGCAGCTGTGACCTGCCATGTTGACAAATAAAACGTAAGCCAAAGCAGCTCACTTAGTGACCATAGTAAATGACTTTTTCCCATCGTCTATAAAGGTTCACATCACCATGGCCATAGAATTGGATTAAGAACTGGAGATATTCTGGAATTAAGAACAGATGCCTGTGAGGCAAAGAAACGAGAAAATACTTGCCTTTCTTATCTGAGAATGAGGAACATCTGAAAAGTCCATTCCAGCTCCTTCAGCAACCTTAGGTGCAGATACTTGTGATTCCTTGCCCCTAGATGCTATACAAAAAGCAAAACACATACATATGTGAGCCAATTGTAAGGTAGTACACATGTCTTTGTGCTGAAAAGACTTCTACAGTTATATTCACATGAGCACCTCTATACAAAATTTATTGACTAAGTATAGGTAAATAAATCACACCACATAGGCAACAAATTGTATTGGAATCCAAGGAATTTGCAGTAGAAAATTTTAAATAAATAATTTATTGACTTTTAAAAAAAAAATTAAAATAAATAAATAACAAAAGAAACAAAAACAAAAAAAAAAAAAAAAACTTCTTGAATCTTTCTGCGATATAAAGTGGGATGAAAATTGACCCAAAAAAAGCTACTTAAGAAAACAACCATCACAGGACTAACAGGCGTATGTCATAAAAATAAACCAAAACACAGAGAATTATAGACACATATAACTGTAGAGTGAAATCATCAAAAGAAAAAAATAAAAGAAAACAATGCAAATTACCCAAGTAATCTTCAATGTCAGCTTTGATAATGTTTCCATCAGGACCTGTTCCCTTTATGCTTGACAAAGAAACCTTTATTGCACAGAACAAAATCAAGGGACACGAGTTAGAATCATAGAAATATCCCAATGCAATAACTAGAAAACCTGGAACAAATTTCTAACAAGTAACCCACATTGTGCTCTTCAGCTAATTTCCTTGCAAGAGGACTAGCAAATATGCGATCCCCTCCAGATGATTTTTGACTAGATGGAGCGTTCTTCTCCTTGGGTACAGCAGGAGGAGTCTGAGCTGTTTTTTGTTCAGAAGCTTCAGGTTCAGATGGTTTCTCAGGTTCAGGAACAGCAGTTTCTGATTTGGAGGGTGTGTAATCTTTAAACTTCTCAATATCTGCCTCATCTTCTACGGTGATAGCAATCACCTAACATGAAATCAAGATAACCCAAAGTCAGACTTTCAGAGACAATAGAACACCAATTACATTGACAGGAAAATGTTTTGAAGATTAGATTCTGCCAGCAATACTGTAAATTTAATGAAATACAGAAACAACAATGCAATCCCTAATGTAAGTTTCAAGAATCTGATAATATCGCATCATAATTCTCTCTTAGCTACAGGATATTATTGCTCCATGTTTGGGTTTGCTCTCACAGAAGAATACCTGATTAGGAGAAATACTAGAAGAGGATTATATATTAAGGCTTAAGAATTACTAATGCTAGTGTGAACAAAAATTTAAAATGCATAAAAACCCTGGAGTCCAGAAGGCTTGCTTGGCATCATCCTAAAATTATTATCTTTAGTCTTAAAGAGGTTAAAGACTGCATGTCATTTGCGTAGTTGAGTCATGAGGTAATTACTATCACAATCACTTTTACAGTTTAAAACTGTAAACCTCAAAGTGACAGTACATAACTATATACATTGTAACACAAACACAGTAGACACCTTTCAAATGATGCAGCAAGTGACAGTGACACAAGCCACCATCAACAACCAGCAATAATTTAAATCTGGAATTGAGAAAAAATATATTTCTAACTTTTGCTAAACAAGTGCTTGCAATTGGATCAAATTTAATAAATACGAAAGTATCATCACACTTTGCCTTTTTACAAGAGACTTATAGCAATGATGCTAGAAACAAAACTGGCATCTCTATCTATTCTGATGGAGCCTAAGGCAGTAAGGCTGAAACAAAATATTTTTGTTACTCTATAAAGCAAAGGCCTTCCTTGGGTGAGTAATTTTAATTTGATTAATCTTCCCTCAAATTTTAATATGAACTATAAACTCAAAAACTGTGAGGGTAGCAATATTAAACATTGAATACAAAATTCTTTTATTACAATCTTACTTGAAACATATGTTACGTCTCTTGTCTGTTCTGATAAAACTTGTGGCTGCTACAAGACAGTTTATACTATAAAAAATAAAATTCTATAAAAACTAATTACAAATGTATATCACCATGTCAATATTCTAATTTCTTACAAACGAAATCCCAAGGCCACCTTATTCTTAATTCACTAAGAGTTCACCCCAGAACAAATCACATATCCTTCATAATGCTTTCTACAAGTCAACCCACCGTACCAAGAACATCCTATATGACAATGAGAAATTAAGACACAAATAACACTGTATGAGTGTATATGCTGAAAAATCTTCATAGTAACTCAACAATAAAGAAATCAAGAAAAATTCTTAGTGAGTTGATACACAGCATGCAGGATGAATGTGTGCTGGACCAGCACATTCAAAATTACTGGCCACTTTGCTCCACATTTAGGTGGGGTTATAACACCGACGGAATTGAGCACAGGGAGATTAAAAGTGGGGAGGGTGTGTGGGTGGGGGGGGGGGGAGCTTTAGGATATAATTTCAAGTTAAGGGTATATTATAAACAGCAAAACTAGATAAGCTAAAGTAGCCTGTCCGTCCACTAAAATAGTAATTTCCATGCTATTGCAAATAGTGTTAAAATTGAAACTAAACAAATAACTTGACAAAATAGATATAACTATATTTTATACACCCCAATCATATAATTGACATAAATTGGCCTTTTATCGGCTTGAAAAAGCCCAAAAATGCACAGCAAGTGCTATATCTTCAGAGGGAAAAGATACTTGTGTGAAACAGAACATGGAAGGCTCGACTAGCTAACCTTCCCCAAGTAAGATTATTAACAAGTTGCATTAAGAGTGAATACTTATAGCAATCAGTTCCACATCCGGAATCAAATGCTTGAAATTCTAAGGGAGAAGATAAACAAACAATGCAACTGCACTCCACTCTTTCCACGGAACTCAAGTCAAACTCCAAATCAAATCATGATAATAAAAATCAGCCAACTCAATACCTCGCCAACTTTAATTCCTTGTGCGCCATCTCCTTTAACTATCTGGGCAATATAACCATCCTCCATACTTTCCATCTCAACTGTCGCTTTATCCTTTCAAGATTGAAAACAAAAGCATAAGTATCTTGGGGGAGCATTAAGGAAACCTTATTTGAAAGAAGCAAAATACGTACTGTTTCGACTTCACAGATTACATCACCAGGAGATACTTTATCTCCTACTTTCTTCACCCATCTAGCAATATTTCCCTGGAATTCCATTAAACTATTATCCATTTGTAGTTCATCAAGTCAAGTAAGTCCAGCATGTCAAGAGAGGTGTAAATCACATACCTCTTCCATCGTAGGAGAAAGAGATGGCATGCCAATTTCTTGATGAGGTGGCAGATCTGAAAAACACAGAGTTGAAAGAACATCATAATTTAGTAATAACGTACTAAAAACTCACTCTGGAAAATTACTAAAAGCTGGCCAGAATTTGAATGAGATATGACCATGTAATAATATACCCTTCTGTCCACATATTTTTCACGAGTGACTAAAACAACCTAATAACAGAATAAACATTACAACATCCTCTGCCTTGTCTACTAGCTTAATAAAGAATATTGTGCTATTAAATAATGCGAGACTTGCTTAAAATGAGTCAAGCTGATACACTAACTGCTTACAAGAGTATGAATTAACAGCTAAGATAAGTACAGCTATCAAATTTTGGCTGTTTAGAGCTAAAGCACAAATTCTGTCCGTAAAAAGACTTCAAGATATCCAAAGTTCCGAACACACAAATGAGGCCAAATAAATTCAATATCAATCTTGCATATGCCAATAGAAGACACCAACCAAGCTCAACAGACCACTAATTCAACAACACATAATGTAACAGGCTTAATTGAATTGGCAGAAAGAATTTTAGATGCTCCACTAATAAATAGAGAACTAGAGATGCAATTACAGCAAAGGAGAGGAAATAAATACCTGCACTTGATGAAAAGTTCCTTTTTGAGTGCAGCTGCAAACTGGAGATTCAAACAATCAAAAAAGAGAGAATATTTAAATGTGGAAGAAATAGCGGCAGTCCAAATTTTTAAAAGTACCCCAACTGATTAAGCAATAGCAGCCCTTCTTCTACAAAGAAAGAAGAGTGGTCTACAGAAGATCAGGAACTAGAGGCAAACCTGGATCCTCTAGACAGGACTTCATAAGATCCCATTTTCAGAGTCATGCTTGAAATACTTCTAGTGAAGACTCCGGTTGCTGGTGCCTATACATCACACGCAGAAGTTTAGGGGAAAAAACACATCTTGGCTATTTCTTTACCAGCAAGAAACAAACAACATCCACTAACCATGCCAGCTGCAGGGTTTGAAACCCTAGGAAACTGACTGGAATTGCCTTTACTGGAACTCCATCCAGTTAATGAGCTACAAGTTCCATCCCCTTTCTGATAATTCCAGCCAGACTGATGGATCTTCAAAGCATCTGGTACAAAGATAACTCACATTCAAACCCAAATATACAAGGTAAATATAGGTTAGGCATTACGAGTTTCTAACCACAGAAAGCCAGCTCAAGGAATGGAAAAAAATTAAGAAAACAATATATCAACAAAATTGAAGTTACAGATTCAGCACTACATTTACAAACATAAAACCTGGTTTTCAATGTTAGGTTAAAGTGTTTCAGACACAATCAAGCATGTTACAAGCTTACAACAACAACTAACACAACAACTCTGTAGGCAAAGTTATAATTATTGACAAGCAACAATTCAAAGAACAATAATTAATTAATCACAAAATAAAAAATAAAAATTGGCAAGACCATGAACATTAAACACCAATGAAATAACACTAGAAAAAATATTAATCAGTACAAGATATATAGACAGTTTTAAACAATTATTCCATTGGCAAACAAAAAGGAAATCCAATTCAGAGATTAGCAAGGAACACCTTCTACAGTTTTTGAGGATGAGCGAACGTCATGAGTGAACTGTCGAACCAAATTGGCAGGTGCACGGCGCACCGACTTGGAAGCAATCTTGGACTGTCAATAATGTGAAAAAACAAAAGGCAGAACAGTTAACATGAAAATGTTTACAGCGTCCTACTCATACTAAAATCATCATAAATATGTCATTTATAATCATATAACACTGTTTTCCTGACATTAGCAATTAGATAACATTCATCAACTCGTCTTTCGGTGTATGGTTAAACTCTTTATAGCTAACAAGCACAGACTAATACAAATTGTAGGTTTCGCAATTCCGAGCTAATTACAAAATCTATAACTTAATTAAATACAAAACCTCCTAAGTATGCTTGGATTATATGTATATTGTATAGATTAATCAAAATTTTATACACATAAATTACGGAATTACATTCGATAAAATTGAAAATTAACAGATGACAATTAATAAAAAAAAAAAAACCTTTGATTCAGGCAGCACAAATTATTCAAAAATTTTCTCGAATTGTAAACATAGGATTCCGGAGGCACAGATTATAAATAATACGAACATCGAGCATGAAATTCAACCATTTACAAAAAAAATTAATATTCAACCAACCTATAATATCTAGATTATGCTTTATAATATGGACAAAAAATCACACCGAAAACCCTAAATTACCAGTAAATTACAAAAATTTAAATTCTAGGTTTATAAAACACATCAAGAAGAAATTGAAATGAAGAAAATCAATAATATAAAAGCGAATCATATTCCAAAAGTCGATCAAAAATTGGCACAAAAAGCAAGTGATCTAGAGATAAAAGCGATCAAAAATACCAGCATTGAGGAGAGAGAAAATTGAGCTGATGAGAAATTCGACGACTGTTGAGAAAGAAGATCTCCAGCAACCTCAGCGAGAGAAAATGAGAGAGTTGAATGTCAAAGGCTAATTCAGGTGTCAAGAAATGAAATAGGGTTGCTTTTTTTGTTTTTTTTATTTTTTAAATGAGATGAAGTTGCGTCGTTTGATTCGAACAACAAGTTCTCGTGCTTTTTAGGACTTTTCTAAGAGTATTATAAAATAAGTGCATTTAAGTAAGAACGCATTTTTTAAAGCATATTGTTTTATAAAATTGCATTTATATATATTATACTTCTAATAAAAACAATCAATTTTAAGAACATAACACTACATAAAGTGTGTGATAATTGTAGCTGTTAAGCGAGTATTAATGTATTACCCAGCTGTCTAGCATTTCAAGAGTTTGTAAAATGTTTTTTTTTCTTTTTTTGGCTTTGATGACATAAAAATAACAATATGTTCAAAATTATACTAAAAATTTTCATACACAAAGCTTCTACTTTTTTTTTTGAAGGGGAGATTAAAATTCATTAATAATAAGCCATACGGCACTTACATAAGAAATCGTAATCGAACAATACAAAGACAAAAGAACCAATTACAAGTTCGAAATAAAGGAAACTACAATTGCACGCGCAAAATGACTTTCTGAAATACCCTTGGCTCATATAACGTTGTCCTATGCAGGCTCTTGCAAGGGGGTCTGGCAATATGTTGTAGTTTCTGACGTGAACCTTCATTGACTCAGAATCCCGTACTCCTCGACCAGAAATCAAACTTGGTGCCATACACTTCACCATTGACAATACAATCTCTGATTCAAACACGGACCCCGGCTTGGAAGCATAACCCTTCAGCCCAAACCAACAGAAGATCAAACCAAAGCCCCATAGCCAAAAAACCCGGTTCAAAACATGCACCAGAAGATCGACACACCGATCTGCACACCCCATAGCACACCAACGCACCACACAAGAAGAAAAAATAACAAACCCTAAAGAACAACACACACAACGACTAAAATAAGAAACAGACAGAAAATTAAAAACGAGAACTACAAACGAAACCCTAGCAAACAACCCCGCAGCCAATCCGAGAACCACCATCCAAGCACCAAGGTTCACCAACCCAACCCACAAACCACCGTACAGGAAAGCCCGACCCGCAGGAACCCGCCCGAGAAGCCCAAACCCCACACAACCCTGAACCGCGGCAACGATGGCTGGAAACACCAAACTGAAAACGGCCCTACGCGAGGGACTTAGAGGGAGATAACTCTCCCTCCCCGTTCTCCTGCAAAACGTCGCGACGACGAGCAGAGACACGGCGGGGAAGCGGGGAATAAGAGCGGCGACAAGCCGGCAACAAGGCCGGTGAGGAATAGCGGCGGCCAAAGAGGGGAAGCGGCGCAAAAAGCTAGGTCGGCCGGACAAAAAACCAAAGCGAAAAAAGAAAAAAACACCTCAAGGAGGTAGATTGGAGGCTCGCCGACATAATGGCATGGGCGGTGAGCCGCACACCCGCCGGCGAGCCTCATGGCCGGAGCGATTTTGAGAAGACAGTTGGGTTTTTTTTTTTGGGGGGGAGAGAGAGAGCGTTTCTAATTTTGTGTTTTGGGTTGCTTTTTTTGGGCACAAAGCTTCTACTTCATCCTATTATATGTGTTACAAGTATCAAAGAGTCATACATAGTTGTACCTATCCAACATGAATAAAATTTGTTTATCTGCATCATCTATTCTACGAGTATTTTTTACTTTACGTCTTTTTATTGTATTATCTTTACTAAAATTGAAAATACATGTATCTAACACTCCCTATGCTCAATAATAGCTTTGAATAAATGTATAGTATCCTTGTAGGTGATACTTCATATGCTCCATAAAAGCGCCCCTTATTCACAGATAAGTTAACGGAACTTAGACATGTAAATGTGCATAAGTTGGATATTGATTAAATGGAGCTTGTTTTGAGCTATTGCTCAAACTTTTTTAATATTGATTAATTCATTGATTAATCAACACTTACATGAATGTCAAAGATGTCATTTGCCTTTAAAATATGCAAAACAATCCTGACGAGTTTTGCTGCACTTCTCCTGAATGCAGCACAGCTGAAATCTCGCAAGACCAGGTTAGACCTCAGACTTCAGAGCTCGAAAGCTTCCTCTGCTGCCTCCGCCAATCTCCATCAACACCAAAGGTTCCTTCCCCAAACAGATCTCTTGTATACTTGTCAAAACTTGTTTTCAGAATGTGTTCTATGTTTCTGACATCAGTTGTATAAAATTAATTGTGGTCAGGAGCTAACAGCCGAAAAGTAGGATGCTTTCTGGTAGTCTCAGTTTTTTTATCATACAATGTGTTGAAGTACAACAGTTGGCTACTGGTGGATATTTCAGATAACAATTCTGACTTACTGGAGTACTGTAATGGATCGCAATTTGGGCCGACCCATAAAGGTCTATCATCGAAGGGCCAAGATGGGTCAAGTTCACAATGCGGGTCATGACCAAGAGCAAGTCAACAGCAACGGTAACCCAGAGAGCAGGACAGAAGAAGAAACCGAATTGGAAGAACAAGAGAAGCAATAGCTTTTGTCAAGAAAGCCAATTCAGGAAAGAAGACAAGTTTGAAAAGGAAGATTCACTACTTTAGTAACAATGGAAAAAGGATTGTTGTTTCCTAAGCTTTGGAGGTCAACCATTATTAAATTTAGGTTATGTTAGTGCTTGAGTATAAATTGTAATGTAGTAAGTAGTAGCCTCTTATCCAGAAAATTGTTGAGAAGAACCTTAAGAGAGTTGTAGCCTAAAGCTGCTTGAGACTAATAGCCTCAAGCTATTGCTATCTTGTAACCTTTTGCTTTCAATTAGTAATCAAAAAATCAAGCTTACCTCCCAATTAATCGTTAATTAACTTAATTATTGTGAGTGAAAACCGGTCCTTGACAACTTGGTATCAGAGCAGGCGGTCATGGCAGGCGGACCGTCGTTAAGTCAGCGTGCTGACGCGGCGGATGGACGGTTGGAAGAAGTGGAGATGCGGCTTAAGTCGATTGAAGAGAAGCTCTCTGCTTAAGAGGCTTCAATTAGACGTGCGGTGGGCGAAGCGGTGAGCAAGGCCATGACTGACTCCCAAAAGGCCATCACCGAACAACCTCACGGCGCTCTTTGAGGCGGAGAGAAAGCGGCAGGAAGAGGAAAGAGTGCGACTGGAGGGACGAATAGACCGTTTTTGAGACAACGAGCAACTCCGAGCCACGGTGGTTACCAAGGAATACGAAAAATTCAGGGATGAGATGAGGGCAGCCCTGGCGGCTGCAACCGGAGTTCCCAGACCGGAGCCAAACCCAATACAACTGGAGCCCGGGGAGAACAGCTTGGTTCACGGCGGAGGGGAAAATCAAACACCGCGTTAAGGGGAATTCGGAATGGCGGAGTGGAGAAACAGGGATCCTCGAGGGTGGAACGACGACGGTGGTGGGGGAGATTATCGGTGGAGACCCAAGAAACTTGATATGCCGGTGTTTGAGGGGAAGGATCCGGATAATTGGGTGATGCGGGAAAAAATGTAATTCGATGTACATCACGTTTCCGATGAAGACCGGGTCATCGCCGCGGTGGTGGCCATGGACGGCCCCGCTCTACAGTGGTATCATTGGGAGAACCGAAGACGCCCTTTTGCACATTGGACGGATCTGAGGTGTAGGTTGCTAAAGGAGTTTCGACCACCCAACTCCGGCACCTTGCAGGAGCAGTGGCTGGCCGTAACTCAAACCGGCTCGGTTGAGGAGTACCAGCGAAAGCTCATTGAGATGGCGTTTCCTCTTGACGATGTACCAGAAGAAATTATGAAGGGTCAATTTATTAATGGGTTGAAGGAGAGTATCAAGGCCGAAATTCGACTGTTGGGCCCAACGACCTTGGACCGTGCAATGGATTTGGCCGGAAAAATTGAAGAGCAAGATCGGGTCAGTAAAGGGAAGGCGGGTGTCGGGTCGTGGCGAAGCGGGCCTAACTTAAACGGGTCGGGTTTCGGAGGATCCAGTAGTAAGGTGGGTGGAGGCCTTATTTCCACCTACGGGCTACCCACCAATCCGGGCCCAAGAAAGAGTTGGCCCAAGATGAGTGAATCACAAGGGTCTGTTAACTTAAACAAGCCCAATGCTAGTTACTCCAACAAGTCAGTGAATGAACCAAGAAGACTCACTGAAGCCGAGTTACAAGATCGAAGGGCGAAGGGATTGTGCTTTCGATGTGACGAACGTTGGGGAGTGGGACACCGGTGTAATAGGAAGGGGCTAAGTGTTTTAATGGTGGACGAAGGGTCGGAGGAGGTGGATGACGAAGAGTATGAAGGGGAGGAGGAGGCGGTGCAAGCCTCTTTGTGCTCGGTGGTAGGTTTGACCAATCCGAAAACCATGAAGCTTAGGGGAATCATCCAAGGGAGGGAAGTGCTAGTTATGGTCGACCCAGGTGCGACTCACAATTTTTTATCTCTTAGAGTAGTGGGGGAAACCGAGTTGTCGCTAGAAGGGGGAGGAGAATTTGAGGTGTCTTGGGGTAATGGTGAGACTATACGAGGGAGAGGGGTGTGTAGAAGAGTGAAGTTGAGGTTGAGTGGTGATAACTTGTTATTTTGTATGATTTTAAAGTGATTTTGAGCCTTAGAATTGTGGGAAATCAATGCTTAGTTCACTAATTACTCTATTTTTATGCATTTTTTGTGTATCATATGCTTCACGGGTTTGCTAGTGTTTTGGTGCATATTTAGGTATAAATATGACACTTTGAAGCTTTTGGACAAAGAAGAAAAGAAGTTGGAGACAAGAAGAGGAAATAAGGGAGCTATGGAAGAATGAAAGAAGCAAGGAAAAGTGTACAAGAGTGAAATAAGAGCATTTGGAAGGGTTTTGGAAGGATTTTTTCACTAAGGTCAACTTCAAATGACTATAACTTTTTTTCTACTCAAGTTTTTGAAGTGATTCAAATTGGAGATTAAAGTTCATCTCAAGAGCTATCCAACAACTGCTTACATGCCTTATTCCAAGGAGTAATGAAGAAGTTATGACCTTCCGAAATGAAGTTGTTTCGCCAGAAAAAGCTGCACGTCCGTGCCAATTGATGCACGTCCGTGCCAATTCATGCACGTCCGTGCAAGGTCAGGCAGTAGCTATTGTTCTCATTTTAACAGGTCTGCACGTCCGTGCAACCTTTGGCACGTCCGTGCCGACCTGTATACGGGCCGATTCTTGGTTTCTCCGTCCTTTTACTTGGGGGTTATATAATATCCCTTTAGCTTCATTTGTAAGGGGGGGATCTTCTTAGTTTATTTTTAGCTTAGGTTAGGATTTTTAGAGAGAGAAACTCTCATTTTTCTAGAGAGAGAAAGTGAGAAAATCTTGTTGAAAGCTTGGAATATGAAGAATTGAAGGAAGGAGACTTTAAGATTTGGATACTCCTTGCAATATCAATGAGAATTTCTTACTCTCTCTCCTATTTTGTTATTATATTTACTTATTTTTGTATCTTTTCATCCTTAATTACTTGTTTATGTTAGATTAGTGTTTGTTTCATGTTCTTAGTTGTTAATTCCTTTAGTTTTGCAATTTATTATGATTTGTGAGTAGTTCTTTTACTTGGGATTGTTGAAATCATTGATGAATTCACAAATACTTGTTTGTATGTGTTGATTTAGCTAATGTGGGATGTTAATTAATTGAGCTTAAGTGGTTTCATTGTTAGTTCTTGTAAGTGGCCATTGCTAGAACTATTTATCTAAGCTTTCTCAACGAAGGATCGAGAGATGAACTTGAGTTAGCTCCCTTATGCTTGATTGACCCGAAATGCCATGAGAATAGGAATTTCCGATCAAGGGAATGTTTATGTCATCGTGATTATGCTTTAACACTTGTTTTATGCTTTGTAACCACGAGAGTAGGTTGTATTCATGATTCAAGTAATCCCTCTAGCTTGAGAGAGTAGTTGGGTGCCTTAGATGACTTCCCCTAATTTATCTCCAAATTTCTATGTCTTGTATGTTAAATTGTAGTTTGTGAACAGCTTAATTGGTGGATACCTTCCCGAGATCCTCTTTATTATTGTTTGTAGTTTTTCTTCATAACTCATAACCCAAAAAGACTTGACTTAGCTTATCACAAATCGATATTTGTTAGTGTTCCCCTTAGTCCTTGTGGGATCGACCCTTACTTACCCTTTCTACCCATTAGAGAGACCAAGTTAGGTTTTTATCTTTGGTAGGCTCGACGACAGCTTATCAAGTGGGGGTGTGACAATAGTGGAGGATTTTTTGCCTTTGGGATTAGGAAGTGTTGATGCAATACTCGGGGTCCAATGGTTAGAGAAATTAGGAGCGGTAACTACTAATTGGAAAACTCATGTAATGAGTTTCAAGGTGGATGGGGTGCCGATTACAATAGTGGGGGATCCTTATTCGGAGAAAACACGAGTGTCACTAAGGGCCATGATACGCACACTATGAAAAAATAGGGGAGGGGTACTAGTTGAGATTAACAAGGTGGAGAAGGAGGAAACGGGCCGAAGAGAGAGTGAAGTACCACGGTTTTTGGGTGGAGTGATTGGAGAGTTCAAGGAAGTGTTCAACATGCCCACCGGTTTTCCACCAAACCGTAACCATAAACATTCCATCATTCTTAAGGGAGGGAGTAACCCGGTGAGTGTAAGACCCTATCGATACCCCCAAGCCCAAAAAGATGAAATTGAGAAGCTTATCAAGGAGATGATGGATGCCGGAATTATTCGCCCTTCTACTAGTCCCTTTAGTAGCCCGGTTTTGCTTGTGAAGAAGAAGGACGGTTCTTGGCAATTTTGTGTTGATTACCGCGCATTGAACAAGGAAACGGTGCCGGATAAATATCTGATTCCGGTGATTGATGAGCTCCTTGATGAGTTGCATGGTGTGGTGATGTTTTCTAAGTTAGACTTGAAGTCCGGCTACCATCAAATTCGGATGAAGCCCGAAGACACTCACAAGACGGCTTTTAGAACCCATGAGGGGCACTATGAGTTCTTAGTGATGCCTTTTGGTTTAACTAATGCGCCGGCCACATTTCAATCCTTAATGAACGATGTGTTTCGACCATTCTTGAGGAAGTTTGTGTTGGTATTTTTCGATGATATCTTGATCTATAGCAAGAGTGAAGAGGAGCATGAAGAGCATGTGAGGAAGGTGTTAGAAAAGCTAGCCGAAAATAGTCTCTACGCCAACATGAAGAAATGTGAGTTTGGGCAAAGGGAAGTAGCCTATCTTGGACACATAATTTCGGCTCATGGGGTGGCCATGGATGGTGAGAAAGTGGAGGCTATCATGAAGTGGGAAATTCCCAAGAGTTTGAGGGAACTTAGAGGGTTTCTTGGATTGACCGGGCATTACCGCAAATTTGTGGCAAATTATGCCCAAATTGCGGCACCTCTTACCTCACAATTGAAGAAGGATGCGTTTGGGTGGTCGATGGAGGCTACTCATGCCTTCGAGAGCCTAAAGGAAGCCATGGTGAAGGCCCCCGTACTTTCCATGCCCGACTTCACCAAGGATTTTGTGGTGGAGACCGATGCATCCGGATTTGGGGTTGGGGAGGTGATGATGCAAGGTGGAAGACCGATTGCATATTTTAGCAAGTTGTTGGATGTGAGAGCTAGGGAAAAATCCATTTATGAGAAGGAGCTCATGGCAATTTGCTTGGCAATCATAAGCTGGAAACACTACCTTCTTGGAAGACACTTTGTGGTGAGGATCGACCAACAAAGTCTTCGGTATATAACACAACAACGAGAGGTGAGTAGTGAATATCAAAAGTGGATGAGGAAGTTAGTGGGGTTTGATTTTGAGGTGCAATACCGACCGGGGGCATCCAAGCGGGTAGCCGATGCATTGTCACGAAGGGATCAAGGCAGTGTGCAATTAAGCTTAATGGTTCACTCACAAGCAGTGGATTGGAAGGAGTTAGAAGATGAAATAGAGAAGGACTTGTGGCTGGCCCAAATCAAAACGGGCCTGATGAATGGTGAAGGCATCCCATTAGGATTTCACTTAGATGGGCAGCGTGTTTTGTTCAAAGGCAGGCTGGTGCTACCTAAGGGATCCAAATTCATTCCGATCTTGCTACATGAATACCATGACACCGCAACTGGCGGCCACGACGGAGAGGTCAAAACATACTTACGCCTCGCCGCCGATTGGTTTTGGGTGGGAATGCGGCGAGCCGTGGGTGACTATGTACGGAGATGTGAAGCTTGTCAACGGAGTAAGGCGGTTCAGCGATGTCCGATGGGGTTGTTACAACCCTTACCGATTCCCGAAGCCATCTGGGAGGATATCTCGATGGAATTCGTGGAGGGGATCCCTCTTTCAAAGGGCATCAATTCAGTACTGGTGGTGGTGGACAGGCTATCCAAATACAGCCACTTCATAGGGTTGAAACATCCATATAGTGCACTTAAGGTGGCGGATTTCTTTGTCGGGGAGGTGGTAAGATTGCACAGTTTTCCCTCCTCGATTGTCTCCGACCGAGACCGGGTTTTTATGTGCATTTTCTGGCGCGAGCTTTTCCGGCTACAGGGCACCCATCTGAAGCGAAGTATGGCGTATCATCCGCAAACGGATGGTCAAACTGAGATCGTCAATACGGGATTGGAATCATATTTGCGGTGTTTCGTTTCCGACCAACCCAAGAGGTGGGCGTATTGGTTACATTGGGCGGAGTATGCGTACAATACATCTCCCCATACCTCCACCAAACTCACTCCTTTTAAGGTGGTGTATGGGAGAGATCCGACCAAGCTCTGGCGGTTGGGCCGAGGGCAAACGCCGGTGGATCAGTTGGAGGAGATGCTGAAGGAAAGAGATGAAATGCTCGATGAACTAAAGATTAATTTGCTCAAGGCTCAGCAATTAATGAAGGATTACACGGATAAGAAACGGCGAGATGAGCAATTTGAGATCGGCGACGAGGTCTATCTCAAACTCCAGCCCTATCGCCAGAAATCGCTGGCAAATCGCCCTAATGAGAAGTTGGGGGCACGCTTCTATGGGCCATTCGTGGTGGAGGATCGAATTGGTAAGGTGGCTTATCGTCTGACTTTGCCCCCTTCTTGCAAGATTCACCCTGTTTTCCATATCTCGCAACTCAAACGCGCGATAGGGAACACACCGGTGAACCCGACCATACCACCGCAATTAACAGCAGAGATGGAGTTGGTGGTGGAACCCGAGGCTGTTTTGGAGGTTCGTGCAACAGGTCATTCGGCCAAACCTGAGGTATTGATTAAGTGGCAAGGACTTCCTCACTTCGAAGCTACTTGGGAAGATGCAGCCACCTTGGCGGAGCGTTTTCCGGCTTTCCACCTTGAGGACAAGGTGAATCTCGAGGCGGCGGGTGATGTAATGGATCGCAATTTGGGCCGACCCATTAAGGTCTATCATCGAAGGGCCAAGATGGGTCAAGTTCACAATGTGGGTCATGACCAAGAGCAAGTCAACAGCAACGGTAACCCAGAGAGCAAGACAGAAGAAGAAACCGAATTGGAAGAACAAGAGAAGCAGTAGCTTTTGTCAAGAAAGCCAATTCAGGAAAGAAGACAAGTTTGAAAAGGAAGATTCACTACTTTAGTAACAATGGCAAAAAGATTGTTGTTTCCTAAGCTTTGGAGGTCAACCATTATTAAATTTAGGTTATGTTAGTGCTTGAGTATAAATTGTAATGTAGTAAGTAGTAGCCTCTTATCCAGAAAATTGTTGAGAAGAACCTTAAGAGAGTTGTAGCCTAAAGCTGCTTGAGACTAATAGCCTCAAGCTATTGCTATCTTGTAACCTTTTGCTTTCAATTAGTAATCAAAAACTCAAGCTTACCTCCCAATTAATCGTTAATTAAATTAATTATTGTGAGTGAAAACCGGTCCTTGACAAGTACATTCTGATGATTAGAGCAAAAGCTTGTAGCAAAGGTGACCAAACATCCTTAAATAGTACACGTTCCTATTATTATCCGAAAGGGGGGTATAATAACGTTCAAAAGGTACGAGTAAGAGGATTGTAGGAAATAAAACTACAGAAGAAAAGGGCAGAAAACCCCAAAAGAATAGCTACTCTTTTAAGTCCTAAATTTGTTCTTTATTCTGTTCAACAGATATGCAGTTGTATAGCTACTGCTGACCATGAGTAGAATCCTTGCATTACCGAATTTCTGTCCTTGGCAAAGCGCAAACATGGAGACCTCCATCAATGTGAAGTGTAAGCATAGTTCTATAAGTAACCTTTCGACTCTCATCCCCCAACTTAAAGCGGAAGAATCGAAGAAGTGCAATGGAGACAATCTTCATTTGTCTGTAAGCAAAGTCTTTTCCCAGACAAATCCGTGGACCCGCCTACCAATGTCAAAATTTTCACATAATATTACCATACTCATATCAGAGAATCAAGATATGCAATTATAACTTCTGTTTGGTTGTAATTATCACATTATTGATTCAATTTGAACAACCAGCGTGTTTGTTCCGGATGGAAGGTTATAAAATCAGAGCACTTACATGAAATGCTATGAATTTGAAGGGTGATTCTTGTTGGAAAACTCCATTTTGATCAAGCCATCGTTCAGGGCGAAACTCCTCTGCATCATCTCCCCATATGTAAGGCATCCTTCCCATAGTATAGGCCAAGTAGTTTACGGTTTCTCCCTTCATAACCTTGTAACCATCTGGAAGTACATCATCTTCAAGCGCTGTCCTCCCATCCTGCCATTATGATAAGTTTGCATGACATCAAACTAAAGAAGTTGAGTGTATCAGAAATTAGTTCACAAAGCATAACACCATACACTGATTTCTAATTTTTCTACTTCAGATCAACTATCTGAATGTACAAAGGGTGTGCATAGTAATTAACTAATAATTAGCCTAAAAAAAATTCCAAAATAAGTCTACAACTACATGCAACAATCAAAATGCTAAAAGGATAGTTAAGGAGGTAATAACAATAAAAATTACCCTAATCAAATGTGATCTATTATTTGGGAACGGATGAAGTAATAAATTCAAAGACAAATTTCAATACATAAAAGAGATGCATGGAAATTACCACTGGAACTCCTGGATAAAGCCTCAGGGTCTCTGTAAGAGCAGCATGAAGATAATGCATCTTTTCTAGTATATCATCACTAATTTGATCCACAAAGTCATCGATATTGAAATCATTGTCTGTTCCAGCAACATAATCATTCACTTCTTGGAAAATCTTTTCCTGTATTAATGGATTCTTACAAAGCATGTAAAGAAACCATGAGATTGTATTTGCAGTTGTATCTTTGCCAGCAATCATAAAGTTCAGAATAATGTCCCTCAGATATTGATCAGTCATCTGATCCGGATCTTTCTTGCTTGCCTCTAGAAATCTATATAGTATATCTTCCTTCACATTCTGCAATAAGGCAGCAAAAACAATATCGTTATACAACCCATTCAAATTATGTTCGACTATATTTCATTATTAATTTGCTGTAAAGAATGCTGACAGAATCTTGTTGTTCAGCCAGTTGTTTCTTCTTTGTGCTGATTACTCCATTTACAAATGCGTCAATGACTTTGATGTTTTTCTTAAGCATAGCCTCAGAACTGATGTTAAGGGCTCGCTTAAGCTTCCAAAAAGGATCAACATATCGCCAGTACACAAATGCATTAGCATCATCAAAGGCCTTCATAAATTCAATTCCTTCCTTGCTTGATCCTTCAAGGCAGTTCAAGTCAACCCCAAAACCAACTTTGAATATAGAATCTAAGGTACACCTCATTAACATATCCTGCAGTGTTTTGAAGTATTATAAACATAAAGTTATGAACTTGCTGAATCATATACTTTAATCCTAACTAAACCGTACTACTTCAAGCATACAATCTGTTTTAAATCAAAGAAAAACTGAGTTTTTTATTTGATACTATATACAATATAAAACGACAAACCTGTCAATGAAAATCAAGCCATTCAATTTGTAAAAACCATTTTACTCGACATTAAAACAACTTTGATCACATAGTATTGGTTTAATCAATAATTAAGCAGTTCGGTTGTATTCAGGTGAAGATAACAGCTCCTTTGTAGCTCTTATTATTCGTGGTAATAATAATAAACAAAAACACAACCTGAAGACAGTGGATTTTTGAACATAAATAAATATTGGCATCAATTCTATTCCTTTTAACAATCTAATCAGAATCAATATTAGCTATTTAACACTTACATGGATGTCAAAATTGTTATTTGCCTTTGATATCTGCGAAATAATCCTGACAAGTTTTGCAGCACTTCTACGGAAAACAGCACAACTGAAATCTCTGAGGACCCTGGTTGAAAACTCGACACTCGACAGCTTCCTCTGCTGCCTCCACTTATCTCCATCAACAGCAAAGATTCCTTCCCCAAACAGATCTCCGAGTATATCTTTGTCATGATCGCCTTTTGTGTAGTTGTCAAATTTTGTTCTAAGAATATGTTCGATGTTTCTGACATCTGTTGTGTAAATTTCACTCTGGTCAGGAGTTAGAATGCGAAAGGTGGGATGTTTTCTGGCAATTTCAGTAAAATAGTCATATAATGTGTTGAAGTAAAACAATTCACTGAAGACTGTCCCTTCCACAGGAGGATAAATTGGATTGCTAATCGACTTCCCGGAGTATACTTTCAAAATTATAGCAAGAACAAGTACTAAAAACAAGAAAAGAGCAGATGTTATGAAGTAAAAGGTGGCTAAGAAAAGATCCATGTTTGTTTTGGTTGAAGGTGTGCCAAACAGCCAAAGCAAATATGGAGTATTCTATATTGATAATGAAGAACAAAGTGTGTACAGTGTATGTTCTCAGTTTCTATCGTTTAAATTTAAAGACAAATCTGAACCGTTCATTTATTTGCAATGGTTGTGATGTACAAATCTTTGTATTTATTTATCATTGACTGATTTATTAATGTCAAGACTCAAGAATGTCATTTTCAATAGAAGTCAACGCAAAATGGAGATACAGACTTAATAAAGCAAACTGAACAACTCCACTGAAAACTACGATTAAACTTGGATTAACAATACTAGTACTCCATAAAACCATGGGCCCTAATAAGCAACTTACAAAGCAACCAGCGAAAGTGTTGAATCCAACCAAAAAGAAGTAAAGTATAACACCAGGATCAAGGAACGACGACAAGCGAAAGCAAAAACAGCATACAATAACGAATAAGAATGTAGCATGCTATCTAAGTACATAGAGAGTACAATTTATGGGCTCGGACATCACATTCATCGTCGAGAACATGATCTGAAACTCCATCAAAACTGTAGCTGACAGTCACCAAGCGCAGCTGCATGAGTCAGCAATCAACAGAACATGTAAATCTCACAGAAAAGCTTCTTGTCATGCATCATCACAACTTGGCATAAATTAGGAAAAGGAATTACCTTAATACTTGCAAATGGCTTCGACTGGGCTCACCTGCATTATATCATCACATACATCGTCACTTGCTTTACTAATTGATAATTTGCATACTAGATTTTGACATCGAAATTATGATGACTTCCTCAGTATTCAAGGGTGGTTTTTTCTACTCAAACCTTCATTGCTATAAAGCAGAAGGAACAATTTAGCTGTTAAAAGATACTGGTAATACAGATAAGGTGACTAAATTCGATACCGAATGATGATTATGCAATTACACTTTCTTACAAATAACATTAGCGTCTAATTGAGTCCTCTACAAATTTCATCCTCTCTAAATAAGCACTAGACCTAATAATCAACATAATCAACAAACTTTATCCTACATCTCACAATTGTGCTTCACTTGACGACATCCAACTAACTGGCTGTTGGGCTTCAATGGTCGGAGGTGGTCCGTACAATGGTGCCGTTTCATTCATTGTGGGTTCAGCTATGCTAAATGGTACAACAGGTGGTACAACAGGTGGGACCATAGTTGATACAGTAATATTCTCTGTTTCAGGTTGGACTTCAACGGTTGGATTCACATATGTAGTTGTCATTGGAGGTTCTTCGGGAGTTGGAGATGGAGATCCAGTTAAACTCATTGTTGACAGATGTTCGAGTTGTTGCAATGCAGCCAATGCATCAGCTCCACCCTCATTAGGTACAAAAGGCCTAAGCACACCTACAGCATCTTTGATTGTTGCTTGCTGCAATCAAATTAAGACAAGGTTTAACATATAGGTCAACTTTAAAAAGGGACAGTTCCAAATAAAACAGAAAATGTGAATATACACATATGACTTACCATGTTTTCTACCTTCTTCATCAACTCTTCATTTGCTGCCACTTGCTCAGACGTTTGCTTCCCCACAGGTGAAGCATTCTGACAGTTGAAATTAATCAGCATGAGAAATTTTAAAAGATCACATGATATTCTTCACATGCACATTAAGCAAGATAAGATTTGTGCAATAAATTAGTGCTTTAGTAAAACAGCAAGAAAGCTTTTAGAAGAGTAGCAACAACACACCAGCATGCAGCATGTAATACAAGAGCAGAAAAATGTTGCAAGCGAATTGATACTTTATGTCAAATTGAAAGTGCCTACATACTCTCTACTCTCATAACCATATTCCCATGACATCAACACTGTCTCTTTAATTACCATCTATCTAGCTTTGAATTACTGTTGTATGTTGGGTATCACATGTCGGATTCTACGACACACCATGAACAAAAACTTATGAACTTTTTAGAAACAAATGTATCTTTCAAAAAGTTCATCAAATGTTCATTTACTGGGCTTTATTAAAGTGGTCAGACCTTTTATCCCCAAATTTGTTAGGGAGAACATCCTGGTTTCTAAGAAACCAATATTCTCTCAAAAGATTTACAGAACATAGAAAGATAAAATGTAATGAAAGTTACAAATCAATCTTCATGAATAGAGGAGCTACTTAGATCCAAGCTGACAAATTAAACCTCCCTACATTTTACTAGCATGCCCTTCCAGAATAAAACATGAAGTAGAATGAAGCTTGATTTAAGAGTTAAAGAAATAGCTACATATTATACCTCTCAGACTAACCTCCCAACCCACCAGCCTCCCACTCTCCTGTTATACTATTAATATGGTTGGACTGTCTTCATATGTTTGTATAAACATCTATTCATTTCCATAAAATAAAAAAAAGTAAAAAAAAAAAAAAAAAATCAAAGCCAGCAATCTGACAAAACCTGAACTCAAATGGCTCTCAATTTCCCCCAAACATAGTATTCTTGTACCAATAAAAATGATTGCGAAGTAACAGTTGCATAAGAAGGGAAATTTCTGGGTGGGGGTGGGGGTGGGGAAGGCAGGGCTTGTATATAATGAAGTTAGCCTTCCATCATCGTCATATAGAAGACTAGCAGCAATATTACTCCCCATGGTAACATAGAAACTGATACATTTCAGATAACTAGTCAGTCCATTGCCTGCTTATCTGCTGCTCTAATGCACTGACCTAGAGCAACCTCTACAATAGCCTAAACACATATCACTGCCTCACCACTGCAACCTACTTAGATTGACAGGTGATTATGACTATTACTACATTGGAGTATGCTTTACATAATACTTGCATTGGAGTATGCTTCCACAAAAATGCTCACAGCAGAACATCTATCCAAAAATTTCTCAGGAAAGCCTTATACAGTTATAAAACTATAACTACAAAGCTGTACCCCTAGAATGGGCCTATCTTTAAGGGATGGAGGGAGTAATGTAAATATAAAATGTTGACTCCCCTTCACAACTCAACTCAACTCAAAATTCATGATTAATTTATTTATTAAAGGAGTCCTACCCAATAAATTAAATATATTTACAATTTCATGCAATATTAACTAATTCAATTGTATTCAGATAATATGACAAAAACCACAAATAAAGATAGTCAAACAACAATATTGATAATTAGAAAACAAATCCAATTTTATCTACATTTAATAACAAACAAGAACCCAAAATAAAGACTTTAAATTTGATAATAACTATAGCAAAGAAAGGCAAGAATATCTTATAAAGATAACATAGTACTTGTGTTCAGCTCTAATAATTTTCTTTCTCTTCTCAAATCTCAATGAATGGACTCAACAGAACACATCAGCACTTTACTATTCCAATATTCCTAACAAACTAATTTCCAATTATGCCCCTCCAACATCCATATTTAAACATTCAAATTATATAACATGACAATTAATTCAAAGGTGCCAAAATTCAAATTCAAACAAACTCAAACTTTAAGAGGGAAAAAAAGGTCACAGCACTATTACCTTCCTAGGCCTGCCACGGGGCTTGCCAGAATACTTCCTCGCCGGTTTCGGTGGGGCCACACTCGGGACACTCCCCCTAGGAGGCCTACCGCGCCTCTTCCCACCAGCAACACCGCTACCAGGAGCCACTCCCGCTTGCCTAGGCGGGCGTCCACGCGGCCTTTTCCCAACCGGCTTCGCAACAGGGGCTAATGCACTCCTTTTAGGCCTGCCCCTAGGCTTACCACTCCCTACAGCAGCAATTCCGGGGGCAGCAGCCCCCTTCACCTTAGGCGGTCGCCCTGGCCGCTTCTTCGGAACCCCGGAAACTGTACCATTCACAGGAACAATCGACAATTCTTGCTTAGCAGGCTGAAATTCAGCTTGTGCCTGATAAATCGGCTGCGGCACTGGCTTATTCTTGAAAGGGCGGCCGGGCCGCCTCTTAACAGGCTGTCCATTATTCAAACCAACATCTGGTGGTGGTGGAGCATCATAAACAGGCTGAACAAACGGCACCTCCGCAACAGCCGGCTGCTGCTGTTGCTGCTGCCTTGGCGGCCTACCTCGAGGCCTTTTACCAGTTGAAGGCCCATTACCAACTCCAGCCGCAGGGGCCGGAGATGGGCCAACCGGGCCCGGACTGGGCTGGCCCAAAGGCTTAGCCTTTGGCGGGCGACCCGGTCTCTTTTTCGGGGTCATTGAATCTTGTGATTGAGGATTCAATTGTGAAGGTGGAGCAGATCTAAGAGGAACAGCAGCAGCAGCAGCCGCAGCAGCAGCAACAACAGGAAGTTGATAGGAATTCTTAATCATAACGAGTTGACCAGAAGTCTTCAACCGCTTCAAGTTGTGACTCAACAAGGCCGAGTGAGTTGGAGGAAGATTGGTATAAACTCGGTCAATATACTTTGCTATTGCTCTCTTGCTTGATCCTCCTGCTTTCCCTTGTGAACTGTCCCACATTATTGCTGCTGTTATCATCTGCATAAATTATTAATTACCCATTAAAATTAATTAAATACCCACAAAAATTAATTAAATACCCATAAAAATTAATTAAAACCCATAAATTAAAAATTAAAAAAATAAAAATTAATTTGGGATCTAGAACAAAAATTAAACCTCGGCGTAAGAAGGGTGAGTTGGAGGGGGGAGTTGGGGCTGAGTTGGGGTTGGGTTTGCGACGGCGGAAGGCTGAGCATCGGCGGAATTCACGGCGAACGGCGGCAGAAGGCCGCCAACTTGCTGGTGCTGCTCCATGGAAGAGGAATGAGAAAGAGGAGAGATTTTCGGGACCCCGAAAATTGGGGTTTTCTTTATGTATTAGTATAATTTTCTGGGTATTTTCTTGGAAGTGAAAAATGAAAATGAAAATGGAAAATTAAAATTAAGGAGAGAGAAAGAGATAAAATAGGGTTTTTGAAGAAGGATTGGATTTGTGTAATAGAAAAGGGTTTTTTTTTTTATTATTGTTATTTTATCTGTATAAATCTACAGTTGTATTTATACTCTGTATGATGTTTATTTTTATTTTTATTTTTGACGGGATGATGTTTACGAAGTATTTACTTACTTTGTTGTTTGGATCTGAAATTTTGATCGGACCGTTAGAAATGCTTTTCTAGTGATAGGAACCAACTACATGACGTGGCTTTTTTTTTTTTTTTGAAGGAGGTAAAAAACTAAAAATATCTATTAAAGGGTTTTTCACTTTTTTATGAGGAAATGAGCTTCACAAACTTTATGATTAAAGTAGGTGAATCAACTCAATATTATCCTTCCCAAAAAAAAAATCTACCCAGTAATATAGGTTTTTAGAAAATGAAAATAAAAATAAAAATTCTTATTGAATGTTTAGACCAATAAGGAGATAATTTTAGACAATAATTTGAAAAGAAAAAAAAGAATCAAAGTATTAAGATTGAAAGAAACTTATTTTTTATGTTAGAAATTTTAAATTATGATTTTTAAAAAAGTAGTTGTACATAAATACATCTATTATTTCCTAAAATTTGATCAAAAGTTACATTTGAAATGAATAAAAGTTTTCCTTATCTATTAACTATTACTAAAACAAATCATTGCTAACATCATCTCTTCTCTAAACTATATATGTGTCGCTTTCTTATAAAAAAAATTTTTTGCCTAAAACTATTGATGATGTCATTTTTTTGTGATAATTTTTTTTTAAAGGATTTTTTTTTCCTTTTATGTAATACTTCGTAAATAAGCTTAGTAAGTTCTTTCAACGACTTTAATATAGAAAATCGAAGTATCGTAAATTGAAACTATATTTCTTTCTTTGGATTTAAAGATCTATCATTCTCTCTCTTCAATTTCTTAACACTAATATTCAAACATTCAGAAATTTCCTGAAATATTCAAACTGTATTCTATTTAAGAAATTTCTTTCCCTAAATTTATGGCAAAATTTAAAAGATTCATTATATATTAGTATATACGAGTTCTATACTATTTTTTTTAATTAAAACCGTGCATTGCACCGGAATAATCTAGTATACATTAAATTTACTACTCGTATCATACTAATTGTTTGGGTCTAATTTACTCCAATTAAGTTGGTCTAAAATGATTCAATTATCAAGCCCAAAGCAAAGGTTCAAGTCATGCCAAGTCAGTCAAAGGCCCATTTAACGTGGCAAACCCACTTGACTCAAGGTCTATTCCTCCTATTTGTGCATAAAAGCATCACTTCTCTATTACATTCATTCACACAAAGCCTCAAGCAATTAATAATCTTACATAGCTTTCTCTCTATAGACATTGTACTGATTTCGGCATCAGAGCGGTCTTTCTCGGCACAATCTCCAAGGTCAATTTACGTGTGTTTACTTTACAGAAAATCCTCGCCCCAGTCACCACTTAGCTTGGACCGAGATCAGTCTTTGACCCACCGTAAGGACCTCATCCGTAGGTCCATTGTTTTCACCTAAAACACTAATAACAATTATATATACTTTGTGAATAAAGTTAAAGCTTTAAAGGATTGAAATCAAATCTCAATATATTAACCTTATTTCATCCAGTCACCCTTTAAAAAAATAATAAATAAATAAATAAAAACTCTGTAAATTATTTAAAAAAAAAAAAAAAAAAACTTTGCCTATTTTACATCAAAATCTTATGAAGTTTAAAGTTTTTCTTTTTTTTTTTCTCTATTTTGAGACAACTTAAAGTTTCTTCTAATCTTGTTTAAGGTCACCAAAAATAAATACTAAATTTTCCTCATTTTTTTGCTGAACTGAAATTATTTTTACAAAACTGAAATTATTTTTGGTGAACTTAAATTATTTTTACTGAATTGAAATTATTTTTGCTGAACTAAATTTGTTTTTACTGATTTCATGTTATATTTTCTCTTTAACATTACTGATTTTTATTGAAATGAAATTATTTTTACTGAACTGAACTTATTTTTACTAAACTAAAAATACTTTTATTGAAACTATTGAAATTAATGTTTTTAAACTAAATTAAAGCAAGTTTAAGAGTTTTTATAATGCTGGAGTTTTTAAGTAGAGGCTAATTACCCATTATTCGGGAATAAAAGTATGTGGTTTAAATTATTTTTCAACATATTTTAGAAAGTTTAAAAGTGATTTAAAGAGTGTATATATTGTTGGAAATTTATTAGGAATGGGTATTAATGTCCCTTTATAATTTTGAGTGGTAGGAGACTTTCAAGTTCCAAGTGAGTAATTTTCGTGTAGTCGTAGCGATTTTGAGATCATATTCGAGGTACATTTGTGTACTCGGTAATTATTTAAGTGGGTAGAGGCATGTTAAAATTTGTTTAATTAATTCAAGGTAGTATCATGATAGGGATTGATTAGAATTGTTAATTGGATTGATTTTAGTGATTGACACAGAAACACGTCGGGTATTTGCTGAAGCTGAGATAGGTTTGTAGTGGACTGAATTATGAATTATTTGAGGTGAATTGTTGATTGGAATTAATTATAATTTAAACTTATCATCAATTTTACTAGTATGTCATTAAAAATTTGAATAGAGTATAGCACTGGCAGAGCAAGGAGGAACAACTTCCCCCACTTTTTAAGAAAAAATTCTTTATATTTATTTATTTTGCTAAATGATTAATAATATATTTAGTGCAATGATCGTATGTATTTTTTTTTTATTGTTTTCGGTAAAAGTCAATATATTTTCAAACAATCATTTTCTGTCTCTTTTAGTTCTACATGAATAATATCCCAAATTCATGTTGCATTCATTTTCTTTTTTTTTTAACTTATTTTTTTAATGTAACATATAGTTTTTTTTTTTTTTTAACAATTATGCCATATATATATATATATATTTAAATGTAAAATATAGTATTTTTTTTTTTAACAATTATGCCAAATTCTGGTTATAATAGAGATCGAATTATGAACTATGCATTTAATTAAAAAATTCTAAACCAATAAACATATATTAATGGAGGAAGAGTTTGTACATGATGTTGGATTATTAAGACCAATAAGTTCTCTGTATTTTGGAAATTTTGAGTTGTAATACTTAAATAATTTAAGTATATATATGTTCCAACATGTTTGTCTAATTAAGTGAATTTTATTTTTTTCCCCCGATTTGAAATTTCCGGCTACGCCACTGAGCCATAATATTATTAGGAACACAAAATTGTAATAATGCGCGTAAAATCACATAGTGTATAATAGGGCTAATGTCTTAGATAAGGATTAGAAGAGGGGTATATTGCTCCAAAATAAGCCCTAACCAGCTAACCTATCATATTTATAGGCGAGAGGAAGGGTGTAGATACTAGATATATATACACAAAATTTCTACAATAAGATTCTAGAATTCTAACGAACATTCATTGTTTCTACCATTCTTCCAACCAATCATTATGCTAAAACTTTCCAAACAACTTGAGACATGAGTAGCTGGGCTTAAAGGAAATGAGCCACACTAAACCCAACAGAGCTCAGCATCACGTAATTGATTACTTATGTAAGAAATTTTCAAGTTATCATCAAAACCATAAGGAATGACAATATTTGACTGTTAATTTGTTTAACGAAAAATAGATTAATAGTCCTGTAATAATAGAATAATTGTACAAGTATATAACAAGGGAATGCCATTTATATTATGAACCAAAAAAAAAAAAAAAAAAAAAAATTTATTCTACAAGACTCAACTACTTCATGTTTTGTACTTTAAATGGAGAGAAGGGTTAAGCGTTTAGGGTAAGGGCATGATCACATTTATTGAGTTGAGATGAACTAAACTGATTAGAGCTGAATTGAATAAAACTAAAATAAATATTTTATGCGAGAGAAATTAAGAGTTGAACTAAATTGAATTGATTGTAGCTAAACTGAACTGAAATTAAGTTGAACTGAACAAGCCCTAAATTGATTTAAAATATGAAGAGGGATTATGAGCAAACAAAGAAAATTAAAGTGCATTACAAGATTTGATCCAACAACAAATATTATGGAACCAAAAAAAAATTTACTCTACAAGACTCAACTACTTCATGTTTTGTACTTTAAATGGAGAGAAGGGTTAAGCGTTTAGGGTAAGGGCATGTTCACATTTATTGAGTTGAGCTGAACTAAACTGATTAGAGCTGAATTGAATAAAACTAAAATAAATATTTTATGCGAGAGAAATTAAGAGTTGAACTAAATTGAATTGATTGTAGCTAAACTGAACTGAAATTAAGTTGAACTGAACAAGCACTAAATTGATTTAAAATATGAAGAGGGATTATGAGCAAACAAAGAAAATTAAAGTGCATAACAAGATTTGATCCAACAACAAATATTGTGAATTCAATAAATAGTCCTTAGGGACAACAAACATGTGAATATGGGTCTATTCACATTTACTAAATTGAGTTGAACTGATTGGAGCTGAAATGAACTGAACTGATCTGAAATAAATATTTTATTAGAAAGGGAAATTAAGAGCTGAACTGAACTAATTGGAGCTGAATTGAACTGATTGGAGCTGAACTGAAATTAAGTAAATGTGAACAGGCCCTATGTGAGTATGTAACCACTGTGCTTAGCTTAGTCAAATTTTTATTTGATAGGCAAATTTTACAGAATACAGAGTAGTAATTTTTTTTTTATTCATTTTTTATTTTGATTTTTAATACACTAGACTTTTATGTCAAAAAAAAGGGGGGACTTTTAGGCCTTTAAAATTTGGATGTCTTATTTTATGTCTCCAACAGTCCACATCCTATTAGCTATATTTAGAGTATGCTAAAAACCAAGTTAATATGCTTACCATTTTTTACTTCAATCAAGTTAATATGTTCACCATTTTCATCTCAATTAGCACCAAGTAATTACGTTTGAAATCCCATCACAAAATATTTTTACAAGAAAAGTTATTGGCATTATTTGGCATAAAAAGGCAATAGATAACAAATTATGACAAATCTTCCAAGAATATCTTCATATAATTATTGTAATTGATTTTCATGTGATTTGTTCACAATAAAAGTATTATGGTGTAACATTCTAATCCATAGGTCAGAACGATTACAAGTATAAAAGGAGTATAACTGATTATTTAGATGCATATCATTCCTATACCATTTTTTTTTTCCTTAAACAAAAACTTCAGCCATCCATTGACATTACTAGGCCTAGAAAAAAAATCTACAATGGCATCTTCACAATACATAGCTCCAATGTTGTTACTCTTACTCCTCGTTAATTTTTCAGGTAATTATTTTATTTA